AAATAGTGCTATGACAAGCGTTAAATCTGTCGCTACAATCTAACTCTTAATCAAACAATACTTATACGAACACCCTATAACCAGTATAATGGCAAATAAAGGTTCGGTCCATGAAGAACGGGAGTAACTGCTAATCAATCCTAAAACCTAAGCTAGTTCGAAATCAATGGAAGATGGTGTTCTAAAATACTACTAATAAGATGAAATAATCAATAAACTAAGACACTAGGGAGAACGGAAATCCGCCTAACCATTGGTAACTAAGCAACAAGGAATCACAGAGACAAACGGGATATGCAAAGACTACATGTCTGATCAATATCATGTGGTAGGAAGACAACGGGCAATACTAAGCTTGGATTTCTCATGCACTTAACATTACTCGATACATAATCAAACCACATTCAACAATGAATTACTCAATTCACAATCTCTTGTTCAAATCAAGAATATCATGCAATCAAATTCAAGATTCTAGGTTAGCTACTCCTATTATAATGAATTAACATGCAATCGCATATAATCAATTTAATCACAATCCGTTTATCAAAATCAACCCTCAATTACATAGATTACCTAGGCCGGGTTTCATCCCGAAACCCTAGCTAGGAGACTACTCACACATATTCATAATCAAAGCAATAATGAATTCCAAAAGCATAATAGATCTAAACATGAATTCTGATTAAGGAATAATAAAGCTTGATTAATAAACAAGAATGAATAATACCAATTGTATTGATGCGAATCAATGACAAAGTTTGGAACTTTGATATCCGATGTCAATGAATAATACAAAGAATCCCAACGAATCTTTCTTCGAATCAATCCGGAAAACTACGATTAACTAGATCAAATCTATGGAATCTCAACTACGGAAGTGCTCTCTACCTCTCTACAAAGTCTTTTTGAAAAAAATGTCCCTAAATCTCTCTAAAAACGCCCCTTAAAGTCGGGCCTTATATACGTCTTCTAATTCGGAGAAGTCAAGCGCGCAGTCAACCCTGGATCAGCACGGCCGTGCTATATTTGGCATAGCCGTGCTAGCTTGTCAGTAGCTAAACCGGATTTCTTCTTCAATTTGGCACGGCCGTGCTATATTTGGCACGGCCGTGCAGCTGCCTGGCACGGCCGTGCTAAAAATGACACGGCCGTGCTAAATATGCTCTAGCACAGGGCTCATACTGAAGCTGACACGGGCACGGGCAACATCTGGCACGGCCGTGCTAATGGCCTGCACGGCCGTGCTGGTGCGTGGATACTGACACGACCGTGCTATTGGCTTGCACGGCCGTGCTGCCTTGCCTGGGGCTGCTTGCTCATAGGCCAGCACGGGTGTGCCTATGGTAACACGGCCGTGCTGCCTGTGTTATGTAATCAATGCACGGCACTTGAACTTCCTTAACTCCTTGGACTTCGGTCAAGGCTAGCTCGGTTACGCATCAAGGGATCGGGATCCGACTAAACTCGGTTGATATTACCTGAAAACACATCAAAAACAAACCGAAAACCCGTGAAGCACGTAATATAGGGGACATAAGCATAACAAGGTAATAATCGGCCAAAACGGCCCCAAATACATCCAAAATCATCCTAATATATGCTTTAAAGCGCGCCCTAAAGTGCGCTTGTCATGCTAAGGTTTCAATACAGGGGTACGGATACTGATGTGGTAGTATGATACTGATAAAGTCAACCTCATTGACTTAGTTATTGAATATTGGGAGTCAGTTAGAAAAAATGGGAAACCAACACCTTTGAACCATCAAGTTTTGCTAGTTACAACAAATATTAAAACAACCCACATAATCACAATCATGAGAAAAAGGAGGAGTATAAAAATGGCGGAGAAGATAAATGGGTTTTCTCTAGTTTACGGTTATATAAATAAGGGGAAATGATTTTGGAGGGAAAAGGATGGTTACAGTTTGGAGGGAAAGTAATATATAAGGGTGTAATAGTAATTATATTACTTAATTACACTTAAGTTAACTATAGTTACTTATTAGTTTTAAAAGTGGCTAATAATTATCATTAGTGTTATAATTAATTAAGTTACATTATTATATGGCTAATTTAGATAATTTAAAAGGTTTTTTGACCACCAAAGATAATTAGCAAAACTTAATGGCTACCAATGAGAATTTCCTTTTAATATTTTGGAACTAGATAAATGGGCGTATTTTCCATTTTACAAAGAAAAAAAAATACTCATAACATTAATTTGCTAACACTTTTCTTTAAAAATATAATAATAAATTAAAATTTTTGCTAACACTTTTTCCAACTTTAGAAATTGTTAAACATGGGCCTTGAACATACCCATACGAGAAAGATTTTATTTGCTTCTTAACATTATAAAATGAATAACTCTTTATTTTATCGATCATTATGAAGTATTACTCATGATGCTTATGTTTTTTTTTGACGAAGTTTCATATATGGTTGGCCACACTGTGTGGCTGGGGTTACTTATTTAGGGATAACTCTTGACCGTCGACTGAGTAATCTCTGACTAAGTAACATCTGACCGAGTAATCCTTGATCAACCGAGTAATCTCTAAATAAGTAACCCCGGTCACACGATGTGGCCAACCACACAAAAAGCGTGTTGTTTTTTATATAGGAAAATTTGGTAAAAATAATCTCAACTTTCGCCCGTTCGCTCAAAATAATCCCAACTTTGGATTATTTTAAAAAAATCCGAACTTTGGAGGTCATTCGCTCAAAATGATCCCAGCCGATCACTTAACCTGTTATAACAGGTTAAGGTGACACATGTCACCATTTAATTGGTTGAAAAATAAAATAAATCTTAAAAAAAAATTTAAAAAAAAAAAAAAAGAAAAAAGAAAACAGTTTCCCAATCCACAACCACCCTACCACAACCCCAACCAGAACCCCCACACACCGCCGATGCCCAAACATCCTTTTCTTGCCAGCGTCGGCGACCCCATCCCCTTACCCACGAACCCACCACCGGAAACCCCCATATCCCCAACTCGAAACTCCTAAAAAACCCTCCCCCACCACTTTAAACCCCAAATCTGGCCCTCCCCCACCCTTAGAACCCTATCGCCCAGGGTTCCGGGGGTGGGAAAGAGCCGAATTTGGGGTTTAAAGTGGTGGGGGAGGGTATTTTGAGGTTTCGGGTTGGGTATATGGGGTTTTCGGGTGGTGGGTTTAGGGGGAGGGGGACGGGTCGCCGGCGTCGGCGCAGGAAGTTTGTCTGGGCGCTGGTGGGGGTGGGGCGGGTTGGATTGTCGGAATGGTGAGGGCTGCCGGGATGGTGGTGGTGGGCGATGGAGTTGCATGTGGGTTTTTTTTTAAAAAAATTCAACCTATAATGCACTAACACGAGACACTTAATACAAAAATAAAATAAGAATAAGATAAAAAAAAATTCTTTTACAGGTTACCAGTCACCTGAGATCATTTTGAGCGAATAAACCCCAAAATTCGAATTATTTAAAAATAATTTAAAGTTGAAATTATTTTGAGTGAACAACGAAAGTTGGGATTGTTTTTACCAATTTTTTCTTTTATATAATTATTTGAACAATTTGAAAAAGAGGGTTTATACCTTCCCCGGCTAGTAAATAAAGTTGCTCGTCGGCTTGGGGTAAAAGGGGGCATAAAAGCATAATAGCCAATGGCGTTTTGCTTCCATTATTGACAGTTTGACTTCCTCTAATTTCTTCAACATATGTACTGTACTTCATCTACTACTCTACAAAAGCATATTTCATTTTTTATATTTATTCTTTTCAGTTTTTTTTTCATAAGTAAAACAAATTACGTAGTATTTTAACAATTTAAAACCTTCTATATGTCAATCTGAATAGGGTTAAGTGGGAACGGGTAATAAAATCTCCAATTCTTATAGAAATTAAACACCTTTAACTTATTTCAAGTTGAATTTTTTTTTTTACCATACGATCATAACACCCTACAGAATCATCATATCATGTAGATCAACCGACCCAACTACATGAGTTAATACTACTTAATAATAGAGGGAGGGTATAAAAAATTCTCATACTCATAAGTACATGAAAATATAGGTGCTTTAAATCAAACTTGTGTCCTCACTATCACAAAACAAATTTACCACCATCTCCACGAAACAAGCTTGATTAGTCTCACGTATCATTGATGAAGCAAAGGAAACTACGTACAACTCTTCATAGCAAAATAGTTCAATTCATTATTTTACCAAAGTTAAATAGAGAAGTTGCACATTCTATCCCCTTTCACAAGACATGAGAAACTTGTATTTTTCTCAAAGAGGCTTTTGTCATTTTGGTGGAAACTTTATGGGCATTTATGTCATTCAAATTTTTTTTCTTATTAGACAAGTTAAATCTGTGAAAGTAGACGTTACGGACACTAGAACTAAACCCACCATTAAAATGGAACTTGAATATTTCTACAACAATGAAGGTTGAGGAATTCAATGAAGAAAGGAAAACTCACAAGCAAACAACAAACACCTACCCTTTGGGGTTAACCATGCCATAATGTTTATATTTTTATTAGGGCTTTATCGTTAAATTCGGCGGCTTTGCCGCCGAAAAAGCCAAAAATGGTGGTGTTGGTAGTGTTGAGGATGGTGCTTGTTGTGGTGTTAAGTGGAATCCACCATTGTTGTTTGTTGAGGAAGGAAGAAGGAAGGGAGGAAGGAGACAACAGTCTCACAATGGGAAATTAACACCGTGAATAGTGTTACAAACTATACAACTCATTAAATGGTTTTTTTTTTTTTGCACATTAAGTCAGCAAAATGGACCACTTTATTGTTCAAATAATTTCGAAAGTGCCATTTGAGAACAGCCCCCCGGTTTCTCAATCACAAGTCTTCATGATTTGAGTCAAATTATCAACATTGTGGGTCACGATGGCCGGGTATGTAGAAAAGTCTTGGCTGACCACGACCAAGATAGCCAAATTGTACTAGGGCACCTTTATTGGCTTTATTATATATAATTTGATCTTCATCAAAACAGAGTATTATACAAACCATCAAATTATTTACCAAATTGAAACAACACATATCATTAGAAATAGATCAAAATATGCTATTTTACGCTGCTATATTCTTAGTCTCTTACATATTCACAAAAAAAATATTACACAAGTTTCAGAATCATCCACCCACACCCTTTCCAACCATACCAATCTTAGGTCATCTCTACCTCCTAAAGAACCCTGCCCAAATCCACCGGACCCTAGTTAAGGTCTCGGACCGCTACGGTCCGGTGGTCCAACTCTGGCTCGGGTTCCGCCGAGCTCTCCTAGTCTCGTCAGCATCAGCTGCCGAGGACTGTCTTCACCACAACGACATCATCTTTGCCAACCGTCCCCGTCTCATAGGTGCCAAGATCCTAGGGTATGACTACACCACCATTCTGTGGGCCCCATACGGTCCACTATGGCGTAACCACCGTAGGATCGCGGCCACTGAAATCTTATCCCCTCACCGGCTCCATTTGTTAGCTGATATACGAGCCGAGGAAGTACGATCACTCGCTAAACGCATTAATGATCATGCAGCCGAAGGCGGGGATCGTACAATAGAGATTAAGCCGGCACTCCTGGAGCTTACGAATAACATAATGATGAGGACGATTGCAGGGAAGAGGATATACGGTGAGGCGGTAGAGACCGAAGAAGGGAAGAGATTTAAGATGTTGTTGAAAGAGTTGTTGGCTATTGGTGGTGCTTTTAGTGCAGGAGATCTTTTCCCCTTTTTTAAGTATCTGGGGTTGAATAAGGCAGCTGAGAAAAGATGTAAGGCTGTATTTGTTAAATATGACAAGTATTTACAAGAATTGGTGGATGAACAACGAGGTAAAACAATGGAGGAAAATAATGATGGTGATGATAGTAAGTTGAACAACAAGAAAAAGAATTTGATTCAGGTTTTGCTTGGACTTCAGAGTACTGATCTTTCTTACTTTTCTGATGATATCATCAAAGGCCTTGTTCAGGTATGAGTCTACGACTACTTTTTACTTTCTCGTTTTTTTTTAGTTACTACATTATTTGAACTTTAACCCTATAGGCTTTAATCAATTTTTTTTTATTTATTTATAAGGATAAATATAGTCATGTGGGATTTAACTTGATTCGTCTCGATATTAACTTTTAAAAAATTCAATTACTATACTGAGTCAAATACTAGAGGTTTTATTTTTTTTTTATTTTTTTTTAATGTCTACTTTTGAAAATTCTCAACTGTGGGGTATCATTATTATAGAATTATATTTGGGCTTATTAAAATTTAGCTATTGGACTTATAGTAGAGGTCTTATTTAGGTAGGCCCATTCGTTCATTAATAAGGCAATGTTTATCAACAATATGAAATTGACGTGAAATTGATAAATTAGATGAAATTACAAGGTAATAGATCAAACATTTAATTACATCTAACAAGGCAATATGTAACTTTTTAACTAGATGATTATATTGGAAGCTTACTTGCTTAGTAGAATAAGAATTTTGATTTTTAAGTAGCAAAAATAATACAATTAACTTATTATTAAGTTAGATGAATTCGGAGTATAAAACTTTGAACATATTAAGTTGATGAATATGGAGTACAAAACTTTGAACATCTTATCTTGATTTACGAAGTAGTAGTCAGAATTATATCACACAACGCAATATGCAACTTTTTCCAACATTTTTAATATTAATTTTCTCAATTTTACCAGATATTATTGTTAACCGGGACAGAAACATCATCAAGCACAATTGAATGGGCAGTAGCATTGTTACTAAAACATCCTGAATGTTATAACAAAGCAAAGAAAGAAATTGACGAGCACGTTGGACGTGATCGCTTGATTGAGGAGCAAGACCTTCAACATCTTCCTTACCTTCATTGCATAATTAACGAGACTCTACGAATGTACCCTGTCGCTCCCATTCTACCACCACACGAGTCCTCGGAAGATTGTGTTGTTGGAGGGTATCACATTCCTAAAGGCACCATGCTAACTTTGAATTTATGGGCCATTCAAAATGACCCTAATGTTTGGGATGAACCAAGTAAATTTAAGCCTGAGAGATTTGAAAATGTCGAAGGTGATCGAGTTGGATATCAGTTCATGCCCTTTGGCTCAGGGCGGAGAGCTTGTCCTGGCGAGAACATGGCAACACGAGTCGTCGGATTTACAGTGGGGTCGTTAATACAGTGCTTTGAATGGGAGAGTGGTGAGGAAGAAGTAGACTTTGAAGAAAAGGTTGGAGTTAGTATGTGGAAAGCCAAGCCTTTGCAAGCCAAGTTTAAGCCTCACAAAGAAATGATCAAGTTACTTTCTCAAATTTAAATAATAATGTAGGTTGTGTTAAATAGAATTCTATCATAATTAAATAAAGATTAGCTTAAAAGTGTTATAAAATTACGTTTAGTAAAAAAAAATGTATATATTCAAACTTGAATACACTTCTCATGCTTGTTATGTTTACAAATAATTCATAAAAGAAACATATGTACTTTTGAAATATTTATAAATTAGACTTCATAAGCATAAGATAAGAAACATCCACACACCGATAACAGAATTTCAACAAGAATAATATTGACTGTATACTACCTCTGTTTCATATATATATAGATTTGGGTTCACGTGAGAAGCTCTCTTAAGATGAGAAGTGTGAGAAGTAATCTCCACCATTGAATTAAGATATGGACTGTAGAGATTAAGTGATTTATGAATGTACATTGAGAGGAAAAAAAACGCACTGCTTTTAATTCCAACTCTTTCTACATCATTTTCTCTCTCTACTTTTTTCTTTCTCTCTCCTGTTCGAACCTCCATCACTGTAATTTTACTTCAATTTTCTCTCAAATCTTCAATCGAATCACATTAGCTCAAGATTTTGAATGAAAATTCTGCATATTTTGTTGAATGTGAATTGCACAGGCTATATTTTGAAGTAAAAGTTCTTTAAAATCATAATTGGGTTAATTTTTTGAAAAAATTGCATTTTATAATCCCAATTTTCACCCATTTCATTTTATTAATCCCAAATTTGGATTATTATTCAATAATCCCAACTTTAGTATGAGCTTTCATTCTTCATACCCAACCGGTTTCTTAACCTACTGTTACCAGTTGCTGTCCTACGTGGAAATAGATGTTACCTTTTTTTTTGTTTTTATTTTTTGTCTAAAAAATAAAAAACTCCTTATTTATTCCCTCCACTCTCTCTTTCTCTGTTATTTTCCCGTTACTATTCCCTCATCCTCTCTCTGTTTTTTTTTCTTTTCTCAGTACTCTCTCTGTAATTTGTTTTCTCATACTTCTCCGTTATCAATGGCTGGAGGTCGAAGTTTACCACTTGGATCCGCTAGGTCTTCTTCAAGCTCGCGAGGAGGTTTGTACACAACGACCAAATGTAGTTGTGGTTTGGACGCCGTTGTGCGAATTGTGAAGAAGGGGCATAACATTGGATCCAGATTTTACGGATGCCCAAAATGGCTGGTAATGGTTTAAAAAAAGTTACTTTAGGACTAATTAGTCGTAATTAGTTGTAATTGTTTATTTTTGTTGGAATTTTAAATTGCAGTTGTAATTAGGGTTTTGATTAATTTGGGTATTTTTTGGTACATGATACCAATTGAAATTTTATGAAGTGGGTTGACTGTACTAATGGGGATGATCTGCGATTAGAGATATTTGAAAGGGACACTACAATTGCTGAATTGGAGATGCTAAACAAATTCCTTGAAGAGAAATTGAAGAAAATGCAAGGACAATGGGAAAATATGGAGGTGGTGCAGCAACTGAAAGAAGAACTATGTGACATGAGGACTGAGGTTATGAAATGTTCAAGGAATGAGACTAATTTGTTTATGGCCCTGTTATTTTCCTGGGTTTTTTTTTTTTGCAATAATGGTGTTGTACTTGAAGTAGGATTTATGGTGTGTACCTTTTGAAATGAAATAAAATGAAATGTATTATGGGGTTTTGTTGAACAACATGTTTGTATTTTCTGTTTGCGCATAATCAAATAATCATGCAAAGTCCTTACCAAAATAGGTACATTATGTACCAACCCAACATATAAGTTCATAAATCCAAAATAACAGGGCTACATCAATTAGTGTTATACACAAAAGGAAATTCTGCCCAAATTTTTAAGTGAAACAATATCCACTTGAACTTAAGTTAATAGTAACTAGTCTGGTACTGTTACACAAAAGGGTTAGTTTGCTAACTAAACTAACTTTGACAGCAAAATATTTTTACTTTGTTGACTGATGGAGGGTTGATTGCTGACTTGGGATTATGAAATTCACACTTTGGTCCTGGCTTGGCCTGGATGTCAGCCCCCCTCTCCTATTGGATTGGCCACGCACCTATCACATGTAAAAGAATGGAAAGTTAGAATAGCTGAAACAACAGAGATAACAAAACTAATTTGCAATTTTCAAACACATACATTAGGTTGTAGACTCCCATCTTCAGCAATGTACACACCCACTCCTCTTGGAATTCTCTATCTTCCCCTACCACCACTGTACCTACCACCCCTGACTTGGCCTCTTTCCCTACTTGCAGAGCTCATCTCAGCTTGTCCTCTCCTACCAGAAGAAGTTGCAGATGTAGCAGAACTCTGAGCACCACCTCTTCATCTTAACCCTTCTCTTATAACTCTTCCCCCTCTCCCAAGCTTTGCAGGCTGGGCAGTGAATGAATGGTGAGGAGCTGATGCAGATACTGTGAGCTGAGTTTGAGGGTTTTCAATCACATTGATATTGGGTGGATGGGAATCTTTTCTAGGCCTGCCCCTAGGCCTTTTTGTAGGAGGTTCAGTATAGGGTGGTAGTGTATCCTTGTTAGGACATCTTCTTTTGTTGTGTCCCTTGTGTTTGCACAAGGAACAGGTCATCTCTACACTAGACTTAGTCAAACAACCAAGTTTATTTGGGTTCTCAAAAGGGTCCCTAATTCTATTTTTCCTTGGCCTCCCTAGACCAATTTTAATTGGTGGTGGGTCCAAGGGGCATTGCACCTTTGGCCAAAACCTCTCACCTTCAAGGGGTGGATTGAACCTGTTCCATTCAATTTGTAGAAGCATCATCAGTAAAATAGTAGTGGTAATTGGTAAACTAGTCTTACAGAATAGAAGAGTTAGTGTATACCTGCATAAGCCTGTAGATATGCTTCTTTTGTGTATTACCTTTCCACATAGTCTTCTGCTTCTTTGTTCATGAAGAAGATGCAAGCAACTGCATGGCAGCAAGGAATGCCAACCATGTCCCACTTCCTACAGCTGCATGTTCTTTCTTGCAAATTAACAACAAGCTGGTCCAGGTCAGGGGTCACATTGAACAACTGGTCTGTGGAAGGCTGTACATCACAGTATGTAGCCTTGTGTTTCTCCTTGTCCAATTTTGCCTGAATTCTTGGGTACAAAACACCTGAGAATTTCTCCATAACTTGCCTTTTTTTTAGTAGTCTCTGCATCAAGCATGTTCTGATTTCTTCTAGCATGTAAAACAGATGCTTTGTTCTTGCTTCTATTATATAGCCATTGAAAGTTTCTGCAATATTGCTGGTTATTGCATCAGTCTTCATTGAAGTACCCAAGAAAGCTCTGCATAATAAGCTAGGATTATAGCGCTTAAATGCATCAGCTGCTTCAGGATTGATTACAGTGAGCTCATTCAATGCATCATCATAATCTGCTTTGTTGTAACACTTAGCAATCTTCCAGAATTGCAACTTAAGCTCATCTCCTCTATAGGTCTTGTGCCAGTTGGCAAATATATGCCTGACACAATGCCTGTGTTCAGCTTTGGGCAGAACAGAGGACACAGCATTAATAATAGCCTAACATTAAAGTAAGTACATAAAGTAGTAAGCTTCAAAAATGATATGAAAATAAATTTGTGCTAATAGTGCATAAATGTCAGACTGCTCATACCTGGTGCTCATCAAAAAAGACTGCAATACCTTCACCATCTCCCAACTCTAACACTTTCTGTAGATGCACAAAAAACCATTCCCAACTCAAATTATTCTCACCCTCAGCAACAGCCCATGCAACTGGGAACATCTGGTCATTAGCATCCCTTCCAACAGCACAAAGCAACTGACCACCTAGAAAGGTCTTCAGAAAGCTTGCATCAACAGCCAACACCTTCCTACAACCATCTTTCCATCCCTTGGACAATCCCTCAAAGCACATGAAAAATCTTTGAAACATAGGTGGACCCTTCTTCTGTTGTAAAGTCACTAGCTCAGTTGTACTGTCAGGGTTGGTTGTCTGCAATGATGCAAGATAAGATCCCACTTTTTGGTAGTGGTCATGCATTGAACCATGTAGGAGAGTGTGGGCAGCATATCACTCTATAAGCAAACAACCTGTTCACAATGACCTTGAAAGCTCTTTTAATGCAGTCCACTATTTCCTTTGCAGGCCAATGTGGTCTGCTTTTGAATACCTCAAGGAATTGCTTGGCAACCCAGCTAGCTTTCAACTGCCTGTTCTTCTTCATGTTCCTCTGGCAGGTATGCTCTCCAGTCACCCTCTTCACAATCAAAGCTGCCTTTCTTAAATGCCAAGATGCATAAACATAGAAAGGATACCCTTTAATGCATTTTACTCCTACCCTTTGGTGTCTCTTCTTGTTCCCAACAGCAAAAGTTAAGTTCTTACCCTGTAAAACAGCATATTTGGCAACTGCCTCCCTGAAATCTTCCCTTTTGGCAAATCTTAAACCCGCTTTCCACTGGAATTGACTGAAATCTGTATTTGGGCTTACAAGTAGTGCAGATTTTCTCTTCCTTAAACCATCACCTCCTTCATCTTCACTACCAGGAGGTATATCTATCTCCTCATCAAAGTCCTCATATTCACTCAAATTTTCACCTTCAATCACTGGATCTTGAACACCTAGTCTCCCCTAAACTACTTCATGTATAACTCTAGATGCAGCCTGAATTAACTGTGTACTACAAGCTTTAACCCTCTCTCTAGTTGTGTTGTACTCCTCATCACTCACATCAGAATCTGTCTGTATTGTCTCATTCAAAACTGCATCTTCATATTCTTTCTCAAGCTCTGGATCTAACTGCTCCAACCCTACATAAAATTCTCCTTCACTATCCTCATCATTATCCTTATCATTGTCCTCATCATTATCCTCATCACTATCCTCATCAGTGTACACATCACCATAAACACTCCTCTCAACAGCTACTGCAACCCCCTTCCCTTTGTCAATGTTAGGGTCATATTCGGGGTCTGAGTTCTCACTAACATCACTGTAACCTCCTACTAACTTATGTAAGGGAATTGGAGACTCAGGTCTGTCATCAAACCAATTGTAATCTTCATATACAGGAGGTTCTGTTTGGGATGAATGTTGTGAAAGAAGAGGGTTCCCTAAACCTAGATTTGGATTAGAAGTACTGGAAGGAGGGAGATTGGCTGAGTTAGAGACAAATTTAACTTTAGGTGAGCTGGAAACTGTTTTTTTCAGTGTGTGTTTACCTTTACCTATTAAATGTGAGGGGGTGGGAGCTTTTTCTGTTGGACTTAGAGTCAAACTACCTTTAGGTGGGCCCCTTATTTTTTTTATT